TCATCATCCTCAAAGAAACAATGACATCTGTGGTGCTCTTTCTCAGCATGAAACCATACTGATGCTCATAGATAGTCGCCTCTTGTCTAAGTCTTGCTTCCACAACTCTCTCCCAGATCTTCTTCGTGTGGCTCATCAACTTAATTCCCCTGTAGTTGCTAGAAGTGTTGTAGTCAAGACCACCTAACCTGAGACCAAGTCAAGACCAAGACCAGAGTGTACCAAGACCAGAGTGTACCGAGACAAGACCAAGACTTTTTGGAGTCCAAGACAAGTCAAGACCAAGACCTCAAGTCTTTGAGCTCAATCTTTTCACAGATTATCTGTCTTATACTGTTATGACACAGTGACAGTTTTAACCAATATGTAAAAAACATGTGTAACTTTTATAAAAATATTTTTATATAAAAGTTGCATATTGCAATTTTGTTTGCTTTTGAATGAATGTATCAGCTTTTAAACATTTTTAAACCTACATTAAGAAATCAGACAATCAGTGGTTTTTGCACAATAATTTTCATGTCATGTGACCCACTGACGCAGAACTAATGTTAAACTACTCTACTAGACCTGACACACAAGACACCATCATGCATTTCTCATTTTAAAGCATGTTACAATTTTACATTATTTATTTATTTAAAAAAAATCATGGTTTTCGCTCAAAAACTAATTAGAAAATGCTTTAAAATGAGAAATACATGATGGCGTCTTGTGTGTCAGGTCTGTTAGAGTAGTTTAACATTAGTTTTATGTCAGTGCGTCAAATGATGTAAACTATATTAATTTCTGTTTCTGAAGAGTGTTTGGTTCGGTAATTTGTTGACAGTCCCTAAGCGAACCATTAAGTCTCGTTGGAGGGACAGACTGAGCGCAGCTGACCGAAATTGAGCTCAAATGTCAAACGTAAAACTAACTTCACCGCCGTAGAGAATTGAGGCTCCAGCAGAGCACGGACAGTTCAGAAACTATTTAAAATGAGAGAAAAAAGCTTTTTATTAACTGATTAAGTCGTGTTTTAGACTGCTTATTGCTAGTGAATCTATTCTGACCCAAAGTGCAGCCGTGACTGGTTCTGAATGAGGCTTTACAGCGGACAGATGCTCCCCTCTCTTCCAGGTACTGCGTACCGGTGCAAAATCTTTTAGTGGTACGCAGTACCGGACCGTACCGTCTTACTTTCACCCCTGGTTGCGACGTTACGTTCTGTTGTCTGTATTGTTCTGTTAGTACAGAACCTCGTGCAAGTGAAAGGGGGTGGGCATGCAGTAACAAAAACATGTATTTAGCATTGAGTCACGTTATCGCTTGGATTTGAATCAGTACATTTTTCATCCAATAAAAGTAAAGCTGGACAAACTGGACAATATTCTGGCAACTTAGTGATATTTCCACAGTTGTGGTCTTGACTGGTCTTGAAATAAAATCCAGAGTCCTCAATGTCCGAGACTGAGACAAGACCAAGACCAGATGCGGTCGAGTCCGAGACAAGATCATCAAAAAGTGGTCTTGAGACCGGTCTCAAGACCAAGACCGGTCTGGAGTACTACAACACTAGTTGCTACAACTCTGCACATCACCCTTGTTCTTTAAAAATGGGCACCAGCACACTTCTTCTCCATTCCTGAGGCATTTTCTCATCCTCAGATATGTCATTGAATGTTTGAGTCAAAAACCTCACTGCCATCTCTCCAAGACATTTCCAAACCTCCACTGGTCATCAGGTCCCACTGCCTTCCCCTTCTTCATTCTTTTCAGAGCTTTCCAGTTCCACAGTTTCTATGACCTCTATTCTTCTTTCTCTTTCATTCTCTTCGTTCATCAGCTCCTCAAAGTCTTCCTCCCATTTTCCCGTCACACTCTCCTCACTTGTTAGAACATTACCATTCCTATATTTAACAATCCTAACCTGCTGCACATCCTTTCCAGCCTGATCCTTCCATCTCGCCAATCGGTACAAGTCGTTCTCTCCCTCTTTAGTGTCCAGCCTCTCATACAACTCATCATACGCCCTCTGCTTTGCCTTCGCTACCTCCCTCTTTGCTCTACGTCCCATCTCCTTATCTTCCTGTCTCCTCTCTTCAGTCCTCTCTCTGTCATATTTCTTCTTGACTAATCTCTTTCTTTGAACATCTTCCTGCACTTCACTATTCCACCACCAGGTTTCCTTATCATCCATTCTCTGTCCAGATGACACACCAAGTACCTTCCTACCTGTCTCTCTAATTACTGTTGCTGTAGTAGTCCAGTCATCTGGAAGCTCTTTCTTACCACCCAGAGCCTTTAACAGCTCCTCTCTGAATTTATCACAACATTCTTCCTTCTTCATCTTCCACCATTTGGTCGTCTTCTCTGATTTGACCCTTTTTCTCTTCTTCACAACAACAGTCATTCTACACACAACCATCTGATGCTGTCTGGCCACACTCTCCCCTGCCACAACCTTACAGTCTCCCTCAGGTTTCCTCTTCTACACATAATGTAGTCGACCTGCGTACTCCTTCCTCCGCTCTTATAGGTCACTCTATGTTCCTCCCTCTTTTGGAAATAGGTATTGACTATAGCCATTTCCATTCTCTTGGCAAAATCCACCACCATCTGTCCTTCCTGGTTTCTTTCCTTGACACCAAACCTACCCATCACTTCCTCATTCCCTGTTTCCTTCACCATCATGTCCATTCAGGTCTGCTCCTATCACCACTCTCTCCTCCCTGGGAATACTCTCCGTCACTTCATCCAGATCTTTACAAAATGTATCTTTCTCCTCCACATCACATCCAACCTGTGGAGCATAACCACCATAGACGTCGCAACCATTATATGTGAAGGGGACAAGTCCCTCCCACATTCCAAAAACGTTCATTTGGAACCCCCCCCCCCCCCCCCCACACACACACACACACACACTTATACTATGAAACATTAGTTCAGGCAGCGCAGTTTCTCTTTCTTCATGAACAAATCCATTCCACTTGATTAATAGGAGAATACTCAAACCATTAAAACTCCACTCCAGGTTTTCCTGGTTACCGCCAACTCTAAACACAACAGCCTGTTTCCACTGTCACAATATACGGTGGTCACAGAATATGGTGTAACACCTGCAGTGTTTCTGTGCGTCTCCTTCTGCTTCAGCAGAAAACGCGCACAGGTGGAGGAGATGGCGACACCTCTGTGTTACTCGCTCGCCAGTTTAGCTACCTTTTTGCAGGCAGTTGTTGACCGGGGGGTTGATCATATATTCATGTTAGGAGGAGAGAAGTACGTCTGTAGCATCTTTAGCTTAGCAGTAAGTGTGATGCTGTAAGACGCTGCAGGTGTAAGAGACGCTGTGTGTTCAGGTGCATTAAAGTTGAAATGTCTTTAAACCCCCACACCTTATTGTCCTCAAGCTTCATGACAAACATCATTTAGATGAGTCGTGTTGAACACAAGTAAAAAGTCCAGTGGTGATGTTTTTTATTTCTCTATAAACACAAATAGTGCCGACCTGACGCTCTGTATTAAAGTTAAAATGTCTTTAAACCCACAGATGAATTTACACAAACTTGGTGAGAAACATGTTTTAAATGTGTGGAATTAAAGGAAATCTTGGTGAAATGCTGCTTTTTGTTCACTGGTGAACACTTTTTTTAGATGCTTCTGACACCCTTGATAACCACTGACAACATTTAACATCAGACCTTCTACTTCTACCTTCAGACACATCACCCTATCTGACACTCGTTTCACCTCTACTACATTCTTTGCCAACTCCTCCTTCAGTACCACCCCTACTCCATTTCTCTTTCTATCCACACCAGTTTGAACCCTGCTCCAATGCTGCGAGCCTTGCTGCCCTTCCACTTAATCTATTGGACACATAAAACATCTACCTTCCTTCTCTGCATCATGTCAGCCAGTTATCTACCTTTGCCTGTCACTGTCCCCACATTTAGAGTTGCAACCCTCAGTCCTACATTCTTGACATTTCTCTTCTCCCTCTGTCTCCTGACAAATTTCCCTCATGGTGGTCTTTGCCGAACAGTAGCACAATTTCCGCTGGCATCCTGTTTGTCAACAGCACTGGTGGTGGTTGTTGTTAACCTGGGCCTCGACTGATCCGATATGGTTTTACTTTGATGAACTCGCATTATGGTTTTGTCCAACATTTTTCAGTCAGGTCATCTGGACAGTTTCTTTTTTTGTGCTGAAACGTTTCGCCTTCGGTCCAGAAGACTTCATCAGTCAAGGAAACACACAACAAAACTGATTCTTCCCCCAACAGCTTACTCCAAAGTGGAACAAACCAGTTCTGCTTGTGATAAGATGGTCTTTTTGGTACGCCCCCTCCTCCGTTGCCAGCCCTCTTCCTTGTTGACAGTCGTGTCAAACTGGTTGAAAACAACAAAGTCCATACTCAATAATCCAGGTATACAATCCAACATTTTTCTGAAAAATGTTGGATTGTATACCTGGATTATTGAGTATGGACTTTATTATAGTTATGTCACAAGTGTTTTATGTCGGATGCCCTTCCTGACACAACCCTCACCATTTACCCGGGCTTGGGACCGGCACAAGAGATACACTGGCTTGTGCTCCCTAGTGGCTGGTTTCAAACATGAATAGGTATAAAAAATAATAATAAGCTTGTTTATCTCCTTTTAGTTTTGATTCCTCAGGATTTAACTGTTTTATTTTATTATTATTATTTTATTTATTTTTTGTGAATTTAGGCCAAATTAATTTATTTTCCTTTTTAAATGAATCTCAGACTGATCCATAATCGGTTCTGATGTTTTTCTGATCAAAACCGTCTGCTCCTCTCTGACCCGCAGAGCACCAGACTGCAGAACCTGAATCTGAACCTGAACCAGACAGACATCCTGGACCCGGACTTCCAGCAGCGTCTGGAGAACGCCCGGGCGTCACTCAAACAGGAGATCCAAAGAGAGCTGAAAATCAAAGAGGCGGCCGAGAGGCTGCGGGGCGCCGTCACCAACCGAAGGAGCGCCACAGAGGTCGAAGGTCAACTCAAGGCCTCCGCCCGCAAACTGGACACGCTGCACCAGAAGCTGCAGGAGCTGAACGCTCAGTCCATGGCCCCGAGCAGGGTTGGAACCACGGGTAGGTTCAGGGACTGAACCACATGTAGGTCTAGGGACAGAACCAGGGGTAGGTCAGAACCATATCAATGTTGAAAATAAGAAATTGTTCCATTTTTTAGACCAAACCAGGTAATTTCTAAACTGATATCAGCAACACATCTGTTTAAAGATGTTCCAACAACAGTCTGCAACAGTCAGAGGTCTGAATCAGAACCAGCTAGAGGAACATTTAGTAACTAATGATGTTAAGTATCATCAGCTTAGTCAGGGGGCTGGGGATGAACAGACTTTTAGTTGTAAAATTGGGCAGAGGTTCAGCAGTCTGAGGTAAACCGTGTCTAAAACAGTGGAACAATGGTCCAGGGGAAACATGTTTGGGTTTCACACATCAGCTTTTTGTCTACCAACTTGACCTCGGGTACACAGAAGAGGGTGGATGATGGTTGGTTTTTTGGGATGATGAATGGTTGGTTGATAGTTGATGATTGGTTGGTTGATTGTTGGATAGTTAATGGCTGGATGATGGTTAGTTGGGTGGTTGATGGTTGATTATGGCTGCTTAGATAATGGTTGGTTGAATGATGGTTGGATAATGGTTGGATAGTTGACGGATAATGGATGATGGTTGGTTGCTGGTTGATTGGGTGATATGGTTGGTTGGATAATGAATGATTGGATAGTTGCTGGTTGGTTGACTGGATGATGGTTGGTTTGTTGGATGATGAATGGTTGGCTGATGGTTGGTTGATTGATGGTTGGATGGTTGATGGATATGGCTGGTAGATGATGGTTGGTTGGTCGATAGTTGGATGAAAGTTGGATTGACGAATGGTTGTTGGATGATGGTTGGTTGATGGTTGATTGGATGATATATAGATGATTGGATGGTTGAAGGATGTATTGCTGTATGATGGTTGGTTGGGTGATGATTAGATAGTTGCTGGATGATGTATGATGGTTGGATGATGGTTGGTTGCTGGTTGATTGGATGATATGGTTGGTTGGATTATGAATGGTTGGATAGTTGCTGGTTGGATGATGGTTGGTTTGTTGGATGATG